AAATTAGCTATACCTTGTATGTTAGGGTTACCGTATAATACACCTCCATTAATAACATCTCACACCGAAATTTCTTTTGCAGCCGGGGTCAAACTAGATGGGAGTGGGGCGTGGCTTTGGAAAAAAAGAACCAGGGCCTGACCGGGAATTGAACCCGGGACCTCCTCGAATTGGACCGAAGCGCCCTAACAAGGAATCATACTACTAGACCATCAGGCCGGTGAAAAGTTAACCCGATATAAACAAAATAATATATTATACCTCATCTGTAATTGACGCGTTGAGCTTACGCGTCCATGACCACCACCAACTGCTCTTAACATTTACAACAATGGATAGACAACCTTCAACATCATCGGGCACATTTGATCAACGTCGACAAGATGCGCTTAAGACTTATAGAGAGGTCTTGGTGGCCTTTATATATTTTGACATATTCAGCTGAACCCCTTAATTTAGAAAATGCGGAACCATGAAGCTAATAGTGAAAGTTTGAAACACCGTACGTTCCAACTCGAAAGCCCCGGAAGACGAATTAATATACAGCCCTCAAGTTCGCTTCTCTTTAAAGGATCTCGAAAAGGCGTACGAAAAGACAGAAGAGGATATCAAAGCGGTACAATCTGTCGGCCAAATTATTGGGGAAGTCATGAAACAACTAGATGATGAACGATGTACGTTCCTGTTAGATTGGATCCTCATCTTCTTACCCATTCTGTGTAGTTATTGTGAAAGCATCGTCAGGTCCACGCTATGTTGTTTCGTACCGACCAGCGTTACCAGTAGCGAAGTTGAAGACGGGAACACGTGTCTCTCTCGATATGACTACTCTGACGATAATGCGAATACTTCCAAGGGAAGTCGATCCCATGGTGTATAAAATGAGCTTAGAGGACCCCGGAGGAGCATCATTTGCTGGAATTGGAGGACTAGGAGAGCAGGTTAGGGAACTTCGAGAGGTATGCTTGAATCTGTCTGCCTGATATTTTACGAAGGTCACGAAACGTGACCTTCTAGATCATCGAGCTACCATTGCTCAACCCTGAATTATTCCTCCGTGTTGGCATTAAACCACCTAAAGGTGTTCTCTTATATGGGCCTCCAGGAACAGGGAAAACACTACTAGCGAGGGCAGTAGCGGCCACACTTAACACCAACTTCCTCAAAGTTGTCTCATCAGCCATTGTGGACAAGTATATTGGAGAAAGTGCTCGTGTTGTGCGTGAGATGTTTGGTTATGCGAAGGACCATGAACCTTGTGTCATCTTCATGGACGAGATCGACGCTATTGGTGGCCGACGGTTTTCGGAAGGGACAAGCGCAGACCGTGAAATCCAGCGTACCCTCATGGAGGTAAATAAGAAGCCTAAAATTTGAGCTCTATCTGATAATTATTTTAGCTTTTGAATCAAATGGATGGTTTCGACTCTTTGGGAAAGACGAAAATAATTATGGCGACTAATCGCCCCGACACGTTAGATCCTGCGCTTTTGCGTCCCGGTCGACTGGACCGCAAAATTGAGGTTCCGCTTCCTAATGAACAAGCTCGATTAGAAATTCTTAAGATCCACGCGGCGCCAGTCAACAAAGGCGGTGATATTGATTATGAGGCTATCGTGAAGGTCGGACTTATCAAGACTAAATAGGGCAGAACCTCTTTAACATCCCTTCATTTTAGCTATCCGATACTTTCAACGGTGCCGACCTCCGGAATGTTGTCACTGAGGCGGGAATGTTCGCCATTCGCGACGATAGGCAAGTCAAACCCTTTTCGCATAGGAAATTTATAAGTCTGAACAATTTGATAGGGAGTATGTCAACCAAGAAGACTTGACCAAAGCTGCACGAAAGGTTGGTGAGGCAAAGAAACACGAAAGTGAGTTCATCCCTGAAGTTACTCTTTTTGTGATTTGTGTGCTGAAGTTAGTGCCTTAGCCAAAATGGAGTATTCAACGTAGATTTAGTTCATTCTTTGTTTGTGTATTTCATGCCCTCAGTGAGTTTACGACGCTTATAGTGGCAATTCCAAAGTTCTGTATAGTTGGAGATAGGCGTTTGTTATTCTGGAAGCCTTTTGTCCTCATTTGGCACACCCGCCCGCCCTCAACATCATATTTAATTACAACTACAAGCAATACAATTATACACATAACTCAACATATACCTTATAATCAGAATCGGAACAGCCCACCCTTCTTCTTTTTCTTCTCTTCTTTCATAGGCGACGGTGTCGTCGAGTTCGTTGATGACGCATATGAATTAGTCGGGGATAGACGAATAGGTTTCCGGGATTGGGGTACAGGAAGTGTTGCAGGAGCACTTTGTCGTGGGGGTGCATCCTTTGTGAAGTATTTATCGTCATAGTACTCTTGAAACGTTCGCTGCTGCTGTCTTCCTTCCGAAATACCACTAGGGACGGAATGAGACCCGACTCCCCCAAGGTCCAAAACTTTCAGGTCATCAATGAAGTGTCGTGGTGTGACAATGTGAGTGGACCCTGGGTGTTATCTTTCAGGTATGGTGCATTAAACGATAGGATGATTGGCATTACCAATGAAGATGTCTTTACTCAGTGTTGTTGAGAGCTGGTATGTTTCCCTTACTTCTGAGTAAGTCATCCCACCCGCAACAAAGACAATGATACGTTGTCTATTTTCACTGGCTGCAGTGCCTGGTTTCGCTGCTCGATGCCAAGACGGTTTCTGGCTGCGCAGGGACGTTGCTTGAGGTGGTGGAGAGCGCAAACTCGCCGCCACAGGCGCCGTCGAGGGGGCTTCTTTGACATAAGGGAACAGCGTATTATCAAGCTTTCCCGCGGCATGGTCCTACTTATTATTCAATAACTGAAGTGAAAGAACTCAAAGTCGTATACCTCGAGGATTGTACGAAGTAATGGCTTGAAGCGCGAAAGCTCGTACTCTTCCTCGTTAAGTGGCTTCTGTTTGACTTTCTTCTTAGTATCACGGTCGGAAGCCACCTAAAGCGATATTGAGGGGGAGGTCCTCTACATGATGAGTGGGTGAGTACGCACACGTCCTATACGGACGCCCATAAGAGTGAGGGCATTAACTGCGTCTTGCTCTGCAAGTGTTAATCGTGCATGTTGATAAAGCCGCCGACGGTCTTCATCTGGCACACCATCACGGTGCTGTATGTACAATGCTACGATGCGAACTTTGTTTGTGTTGCTGATAACTGGGTAAGAATGAAATCAAGGGCATTTTGCCGCCAACTTACATGACCTCCCTGCTGTCAAGAAGGGGGACCATCTCTTCTACAAGATTTTTTGGCACCTTTCCCTCAGAAGTTATTCCTGTTGCACAATTCTATGATGTCATAAGGTATGTGAAAGAACACAATGGTTATGGGGCCTACCTGTTCCACGTTTGCGACGAGAGGGAGTTTGTCTCGTTCAAATATAGCCATGCACTCTTGGGCCATGTTTAAATGGAGAGAGAACTGAAGCATGTCGTAAAATTTGAGAAGAATAAAAACAGAAAACAAATTACCTTTTCTCGTTGCTCTTGGTATTGTGGCAAATTTGCTAACATTTCTTTCATATCATTCAAACTTGCAGCCCCTTCACTGTCGATGGTTATTAGCGCACAGGCATGAGCAACATTTTTAAAGCTAACCCTTTAAATACTGCATTCTCCTCCAAGAACTTGTTAAAATCCGCCATTAGCTTGTCAATAGCTTCCCGCATATGCATATGTCGGACTTCTGTCCACACTGAATCCGAATCAGCTAGGGTGGCAGTTTTATCCTCATAGGCTCCGACAGACGATTGGAACTTGTATCTAGATAGATAATTGGTTTTAACAATAAATCCATGGCCAATGAAGATCAGAAAGTAGCCACACGAACGTATATTTAACTCCATTTTCAATTGGTAGAAGGTCATTTGCCATAGCTTGATATGTGAATTCGTGGATGAAAGGCGCTAACATATCCATAGTCCTGTCAGTGATGATCAACGTCGCACGCGGCCGAACAAGTTCTGAGGTTTTCTGTGTTGATTGCCTCACTAAATGTCGTAAATGGTGACGAGGATAATGCGCACCGCAAACTCGGGGTTCGCTTTCTTGTGCTCCTCCAGGTTGCCTTGGACCATGAAGGAAAGTAGCTTGGTAGCGTGATCTCCCTCGACCGATTCATACGCTCGGGCTTCAGCCCCACGTGCAAGATTAGTACGCCACCGAGCACTAGATTCAGGGGGTGGAGGTGGTCGGGTTTGGACATTCGGCTTGAGAGCTCCCAACGGAGAGTGGTGAGGGGGCATGTAATATCGGATGAAGGGAAACTCATTTAATGTGATACACAGGTTCGAGATCTTGGATTCTTGTCGAAAAAGGGGAGTCGGCTAATACACGAACACTCACCATCTTACTAACGAATCTCAGATCCTCTTCCAGACGATTACGCGCTAGTTTGAAAGCCGTTTCGGTGCGTGGAGGGGTGTACATGCTAAAAAACATTCCTGGTTCATGTAATGAATAAACTTGGGCTTCCGTGGCTTTTACACGATTCGGTTAGGGGCGCGACGACCAATGGGGATGCTAAGCTCACCCCAGAGGTTAAGAAACAACTCCTTCAGACCTTGCAGATGTGGCTCAGCCTCTGATGCGGTCAGTCGTTGAAAGAGCGCTTCGTCCAACCCTGTATCACCAAAATGCAAATGTTCCGCTAGGGTGTAGATGTACATCTTAAATCACACACCTTCAATGAAGAACAAATGAGCCCCAGCGTATTGTCGGAACCCATTCGAGAAATCTCTTATAATCCGATCCACATTCTGGCTGGTGGGCATCAACAAGTAAATTGCCTCGAATTCGGGCTGAGGATCACGATTACTCGTAATAGATTCTATCACTGGAAGGTGTAAGTCGTAGGACAGAATGCGCTCGAACGGTTGAACATACAGGTGACATTCTCTTCCAGGACGTCAAACTGCTTGAGGACAGAGCCCAAAAGTTTCTGCGAAAATTCGTCCACAACGAGGATTTTCCATTTTCCTGGGGGATTAACTGATCGAATTGCTTCGAGAAACTCTGTACCACAATAGTCAATTACAAGAGACGTCCAGCGTAGCACAACGTGCACGCACTATTTCGAACGATTGTAATCAGAGAAGGCATGAACTAAGCACAGCTTTGCCGCAGCGGTGATTAATATTTTGAATGATTTTTGTGCTTAAAAGTCACGAACACCAAACCATA